GGAACAGAAACACAAGGTTCTGTTGGTGGCCCTGCTCTGGAGGAACCAATACTGGTTTTGCAGAGCTGTTTCGGCTGCTCTCAACAGCCCCGTGGCCCATTCCCCTGAGACGAGACCTCCTCTCTCAGGCGAACATAATGATTTGGCACCCCCAGCCCGAGCTGTGGGCTCTGCACATCTGGCCTCTCGATGGGAGCCTGCGGACCTCCCAGAGAGCATGCTAAATACAATATCTCAGGCGAATCAGGGAACAGAAACACAAGGTTCTGTTGGTGGCCCCGCTCTGGAGGCACCAACACTGGTTCGCAGAGCTGTTCCGGCTGCTCTCAGCAGCCCCGTGGCCCATTTCCCTGAGATGAGACCTTCTCTCTCAGGCGAACATAACGATATGGCACCCAAGGCCTGAGCTGTGGGCTCTGCACCTCTGGCCTCTCAATGGGAGCCTGCGGACCTCCCATAGAGTGTGCTAAATACAATATCTCAGGATAGAGCACCCTCTATGAGACGGCGCTATGCCCTTAAATGGTCTGTGTTCTCCGCCTGGTGTACAGCCCGCGGTGCAGACCCATTTTCCAGCGACATATCTCTGATATTGTCCTTCCTGCAAGAGCTGTTGGATAAGGGTTGTTCACCCTCCACGCTCAAGGTCTATGTAGCAGCCATAGCAGCCTCACACGCTCCTATAGCTGGCCAGTCGGTCGGCAGGAACATCCTACTTGTTAATTTTTTTAAAGGTTTTAGGAGGCTCAACCCGCCTCGCCCTATCACTGTCCCTACATGGGACCTGCCCACGGTGTTGAGGGCTCTGAAAAGCCCTCCCTTTAAGCCGCTACAGTCCGTTGACCTCCGTCCCCTGACGCTAAAACGGCTCTGCTACTGGCGTTAGCATCGGTGAAGCATATGGGAGATCTGCAGGCACTCTCGGTGAGCCCCACCTGCCACGAATTCGGGCCCAACGACTCCAAGGTCGTCCTGAAGCAGAGGCATGGTTATGTACCTAAAGTGCTTTCAGAGCACAGGTAATAGCTCTATTGGCGCTTCCTCCTTCGGAGCAGGACCAAGAGCTGAATTTACTCTGCCCCGACACTGGTTCGCAGAGCTGTTCCGGCTGCTCTCAGCAGCCCCGTGGCCCATTTCCCTGAGATGAGACCTTCTCTCTCAGGCGAACATAACGATATGGCACCCAAGGCCTGAGCTGTGGGCTCTGCACCTCTGGCCTCTCAATGGGAGCCTGCGGACCTCCCATAGAGTGTGCTAAATACAATATCTCAGGATAGAGCACCCTCTATGAGACGGCGCTATGCCCTTAAATGGTCTGTGTTCTCCGCCTGGTGTACAGCCCGCGGTGCAGACCCATTTTCCAGCGACATATCTCTGATATTGTCCTTCCTGCAAGAGCTGTTGGATAAGGGTTGTTCACCCTCCACGCTCAAGGTCTATGTAGCAGCCATAGCAGCCTCACACGCTCCTATAGCTGGCCAGTCGGTCGGCAGGAACATCCTACTTGTTAATTTTTTTAAAGGTTTTAGGAGGCTCAACCCGCCTCGCCCTATCACTGTCCCTACATGGGACCTGCCCACGGTGTTGAGGGCTCTGAAAAGCCCTCCCTTTAAGCCGCTACAGTCCGTTGACCTCCGTCCCCTGACGCTAAAACGGCTCTGCTACTGGCGTTAGCATCGGTGAAGCATATGGGAGATCTGCAGGCACTCTCGGTGAGCCCCACCTGCCACGAATTCGGGCCCAACGACTCCAAGGTCGTCCTGAAGCAGAGGCATGGTTATGTACCTAAAGTGCTTTCAGAGCACAGGTAATAGCTCTATTGGCGCTTCCTCCTTCGGAGCAGGACCAAGAGCTGAATTTACTCTGCCCCGTCAGGGCATTGAGAATGTATATTGAGCGTTCCGCCCCATTCAGACAGTCGGAACAGCTTTTGTATGCTTCGGTGCCCACACCAAAGGGTCTCCGGTCACGATGCAGAGACTTTCCAAATGGATAATCGACGCAATCACGCTAGCATACTCTTCTGCATACTCATACACTCATGGGAGTAAGAGCCCACTCAACAAGAGGCGTCACCTCTTCCTGGGCTTGGTCTAGCGGTGTGTCCATTGCAGAGATTTGTGCGGCAGCTGTCTGGGCCTCATCATTCACTTTTACCAGGTTCTATAATCCGGATGTACCAGCCTTACAGGCCCGGGTCTTTTCTGCTTAATTGGACTCACTCTGGCCATATGGCAAAACCAGTGCTTTAGGCATTTGGCTTCTTCACTGTACGCGCTGTAAAAATTATTTTGGAATGATTACTCAGCGCCGGGCCGACCTCTGTAAGTTTGTCCCTACTGCCTCATGCAGGGTTTCCCTGCAAGATACTTGGTCTCTCTGGGCCACATTTGGTGCTTAAGGCAAGTTCAAGTATTAGTTGTTCCTCTAGCATAGCACGGCGGGATTGTACTGGTTCCCCAAAGCATCTTAGCAGACGCAGTACAAGTGAAGTATCGATAGGGAACTTACTCGGTTACTAACGTAACCTCGGTTCCCTGAGATACGGGAATGAGTGCTGCGTTGCTGGCCATGTTATGTAGCTGCACGACTCAGTCGTCGCTTCAGTCGAAGTAACCTGAGGATCCTATGGGGAGTGCCTGCTTGTATAGCCAGATGCCCCTCCCATTCTGGTGGGCTTTGTCACCATAGACTTGTGCAGCTTTGCTGCCGAGCCATTGGTTCATTTTTTTAATTCACTGCACGAAGCAATGGCCGTGCAGTTACACTGCGTTATTGAAAAGGCTTCAGTATTCGGAGAAAAAGGAGTTTACCCCATAGCACCTTAGTAGACGCAGTACTCGTTCCCTTATCTTAGGAAACCGAGGTTACATCAGTAACCGAGTATGTTTTCTAAACACATGGTTACGAATACCACGAAAAATATTTAAAAAAAATCTAAAGAGTCAAGAGCCCAATGAAAGCAAACATTGTTCACTATAATGAAGTTGATTGTTAAAAAAACTGTTAATTCTCAATAAGAACTTTTGTGCATGTATTAAAGAAATAAATACATTCTGGCTTTTAATGAGTGAAGCTGGTAATGTTGTTTTTGTTGTTTAATCCTCCTCTGAGATCTTGAGTGGTTTAGGGCATTTGATCTTTAGTTGATTTCCTTAAGACTGTGGCTGTAAGTTCTAAACATTGGCTGGGTTTCTATCCAAATGTGAAGCAAATCTTTTAAAAATTCACAACCAAAGGTAAATAAAAAAAATAAAAAAACTGAAAAACACCAACAGAAACAGACAGTTTAATGTTTGCTACATCAGATTTTATTCGGCAAATGCGTTTCCATCTCCTATTATTCACATTAAATATTTTTTTCAAAAGTCAAAAAACACCTCAAATGAGAATACATTTTGTTTTGTTTTTTTGCAAATTAAGGGATTTTTTTCCCTGAAATTCTGTTTCCATCACTCGTTTCTGACTAATTTCTACATAAAAAAATGCATAAAAACAGGGTGATGGAAACAGCTATTGTGTTTCTCTTTTCTTCAATGATTCTGCTTGTTAACAGCAGGTGTCTTCAATAATGCTCAGTCAGCACTTAATTATAATTAACTCTATGATGTTAATTAATTGTTACATTGAACACTCTGTAGTGTGCAAACTGAGCAGTGTTCATTTCATGAACTCATCTGGGCTGATTCATGTGTGATGATCTCATGGAAACTGGGGACAAAACTAGCTGGGACCCAGTTAGATCGCCTATGTGCCATCCATCTGGGCCCCACATGGGTGTGCTGGCTAGGATAGTTTTAATTTCCTCTGCCTTTGGAAGTCCATGCAAAGATGTTTTTCCCTCACAGTGAACTACCATAGTCTGAGGGCAACCCAAAGTAGCCAGCATACAGGCATTTTGCAATCATCTCACATGGTGATGTAGAAATACTGCAGGCACTAGTGCAGGGGTGGGCACATCCAGTCCTGGAGGGCCGGTGTCCCTGCAGAGTTTAGCTCCAACCCTGTTCAAACACTCCTGAACAAGCTAATCAATGCCTTCAAGATTGCTACACCGCAAAAACCGGTGTTAAATGAGAGTTAATCTTTAAAAAAGTTAATGAAAGTTAATGAGAGAATTAGGTGACTAATTAAGTGCTGATTGAGAATTAGTGACGAACAGCTGCTGTTAACAAGCAGAATCACTGAAGAAAAGAGAAACACAAGAAATACAACTGACTTCAGCCAGTCTTAGATCAAATCAACTGAAATAAAAGACATTAAATCTCTCAAGATCTGATTAAACAACTCAACAGCAGCAGCAGCTTCACTCATTACTAACCAGACTGACTTTATTTCTGTCAGATGTCTACAGAGGTTTAGATTGTGATGTTTTATTGAAAATAATAAAGTTTCAAGTCACCGTAGTGGAGATGAGCGTTTGCTTTAGTTGGGCTCCTGACCCTTGACTTTTTAACATTAGTTTTTATGTGATTGCTTTAACTGTGCTTGTGAAACACATTTGTTGTGGTGGGAAAATGCCAGAGAAAATGTGGTCATGTTATATTGGCCACTTATTGATCATGAGTTATCATGTAATAATCAGTGGTGATTTTTAACTTATTTTCTATTATTGATTACAGTTGTATTTTAATGCATAAGTGTGAAGAAACGTAAAAACACTTTGCACACGAGCTTTGAACATCTCTACAGTTTAGACCAGGCATGGGCGAACTCGGTCCTGGAGGGCCACTGCTCTGCAGGGTTTAACTCCAATCCTGATAAAACTCACTTTCCATGACAACGTAGCGGATGAGGCGGTCCAGAACGTTTGATGGGGTGATGATAAAATACAAGGAAAAAAAAGTTGAGTTCTGTTCTATTTCCACATCGCTTCTCATCTTTAGTCTACTGTTTATAAAATGTATAAAGGAATAGACAACGTCCTCAGAGCTGAGGCTCGACAGGAGAAAGATGAAGGAACGCTGGACCGTCTCATCCGCTCCGTTGTCATGGAGATGGGATTGCGTCATAATGCAGCACGGCTGGAACCAGGCTGACGGGAGAGCGCGCTAGTCTCGGCGAGACAGTCGTCCGGAGAGGGTGTGATAACGAGCCGTTTCGTCGCTTTGAAGTCGCTCGACATCTGAAGTCAGCATGCGCGAGATTGTGCACCTGCAGGCGGGCCAGTGCGGGAATCAGATCGGAGCGAAGGTACTCAAAAATAAAGAGGATGTTATTTCAACAAACCACCATTCGCTTCGATGTTCTATAATAATATCATATCATCAAAATATTACTTTGCGCTTTTACTATCGCAAAATCTTTTTTTTTTTTTAAAGTCTGTCTAGTTTTGCAAATCGATTTGCATCCGTAAATATCGCGAAAGGGTCAGCGAGTTCTTCATTACGTCGTAATAATTGAGATGTCAGACAGGGGTGTGGCAGCTGTCTTTCGCTCTCAATCGGTTTGAAATCATCAAAATATCGCAAGATCATCGTCAATAAGCTATATTAACACCGCGTTTAATAGAAAATATCACTGTCTATTTGCGTTGTATTGTTTTTTTTTCAGTGCGCATTTAACTGCGTAGGCGACATTTGCCATTGTTCATGGGGTGGGGTGCTCTTATGTTCCTGTTTTCCTTCTATACTAGCCTTTAAACTTCCAACAAATTAACTCTAAATACAGCTTTAAAGAGTGTCTGGTTATATCACATTGCCCTTGCTGTCATTTTGAACTAGAGATCTAGTCGTAACATAAAGGAGACTGCAGGGCTAGTTGTCTCACACACACACACACACACACACACACACATATATATATATATATATACTCACGCGAGGTGTCCTCGTCGTGCTGTGGGGTTCAGGGAAGGGCAGTGGTCAGGAAGGAAGGAAAGGTCCAGGTAAGGGGCGGAGTCCGGCGGCCGCACGCGCTCCCCTCTTGGTCCCGGGGCGCGAGGCTTCGTTCAACAGCTTCATCCTTCTCTCTCTGCCCACGGCGCTTGAAGGGACTGGACGGCCCGGCATCCTGGCCCGACGGCCGTGTAACGCGTGCGGTTGCCGTCCGGACCGCGGGTCCGGTAGCTCACGACTCTGGCGGCACGGGAGTCCCTCTACGCACCCTTCCTGGACCCACGAGGACACCAGCGTGCATGCACG